TGTAAAGCTGGACAATGAAATTATAAGTATTATTAATATAACTGCCTGCTGTTCTTACTTTCCACTGCTGTGGATCAAATGGAAGAATTTTTGTTCCCTGAGGAACTTTAGGCAAGTGGCATCTTCAGAATGCAGCTAGGTCTACAGAATAATCTGGAGATGTTACCTATTGTTGGCGGCTAGTCACTTTTAATTTGGAAGATGCCACTTTACATTCTGTAAAATGCATATCACAATATTCGTGTCAAGGAAGTGGAGAGAGAGACTCACAGGCTGTGAGGCAAGTGGAAGCTCTCGGACAAACTGAGACATGGGTTGTTGATCCTCCAATGTGGCCTGCCTGGCACCCTTGTTATGGAGGAGCCTAACCCCCTGTATGGGACTGAAGATTGTGTCTGGTTCAACACCTTCCGCCACTTTGACTGACCACCCCAGGGTGATGTAATATGCATGAAAGGAGCACTTTGCTTGCAGAACCCTGATTTTGGAATCCAATACCAAACTGGGAGGAGGAAGATCTGTTGCTGCATCCATAAAGAAGGGACCCACTTTCTGTGACCGGACCAGCTTTGTTTCCTTCTGAATTGAGGATCCATGGGCTTTGGATATATACTGAACCGGATAGCGTATGTACTCTCCAGCGCCTCAGGATATGCACAGCCAAAAGGGAAGCCAAGGGTACCAGGACAGCGACAACCAAAAGGAAATGTTCCAGGGGTGCAGCCCTCCTCAGACGGGGAAATCAGCCACTGGATAGAGAGAAAACAGGTGGCGCACACACCTAGTGCATTACCCAAGGTTTATTGTAGGAATTAAATCATAAAAACATACTCACAGACGAAGCATGTATCTAAAAAGCATAGAAAAATGACTGCCAGGCATCAACAGCAGGGCTCTTACTTTACTTTCCATTCATTGTGCATCAGCATCAGAGGTTGGTCATCAGCTATGAGGAAAGGGATTCGTCCCCGAAACGCGTCAGCCATTTGACCGCACTGACAGTGAGAACACCTTGCCCGCCGTTGTGGCCATTGTCATTTTTCTATGCTTTTTAGATACATGCTTTCGTCTGTGAGTATGTTTTTATGATTTAATTCCTACAATAAACTTTGGATATATACTGCTTATATATATCTTCTTTCTGGTGAGTGCGTTTTTCAGCCACTTCCTCACGGATCACCAACACTGAATTTCTACCTGTCACTTGACACGTTTCTATGAACTGGACTTGCAGTGGACTTATTTCTGTTTTATCATTACTACCCTCAGCGCTGCACTGTTTTTTATGTTATTCTGTATAAGTATATATCGGTTGCTTAGAGTGCTTAGCTGCTGTTTAGGACCAGCGCTCACTGTTCTTTTCCCTTTTAGATTGCATATCCCAATATGTTCAATTGATGTTTATAGATCCTGGGCAAGCATATTTGAATGGAATGAAGCTTCCTGTGTTCTGGTTAGCATGGGTTCTGTGAACAGATCCCCTGCTGAATAATAAAAAGAAACAAAATGAATGTCACGTTTGTCCATTCATTTTCTCCCTCCAGCTTGTGAATGAAGGCAAAAAAAAACCCATGTTAGGTCTAGGGGTAGGTGAATGTAAACAGACAAACATCTGTTTACATCCTTTAGCTCCTATTAATCACATTTACTGTAGGTCTGAAAAAATGGAATGGGATGGACTTAGAGATAAATGAATGTAAATGGATGCACTTGCCTGCCCATAGAATAACACTAAGCTTCCTATTAGATCCCCTGAAAACCTGACAGGCAGACTTAATCAGACCACTCGTTTTAAAGAACCCTTATATTTTAAAAAATGTTTTAATTATTTTCCCAGGACTTTTTTTCTCAGAAAATGGGTGCAGGACCTCAACCATGACCCCCCCTTCCCCCAAAACTCCCCTCCCCCACACACACAAACCCACCAAACCACATCAAATATTGGGTATAGTCAACTTACACTAACAGTGTCAGAATTTGCTCATTTGTTATGCTTTGTTTTTTTTATCTGAAATGGAAATTCTAATAAGAATGATTTAATCAGAAATTTCACAGTGGGAGGGTCTTAAAGGGGCATTAAATATCAGGAGTGCGTGTGCATTATATACCAAGTGCAGAGTTGGGGGGGGTTGCACACAGAGTGCAGAGTTCAGGGGAGTGCTACATGCAGAGTTTCAGGGTGCACTATGTACATAGTGCAGAATTCAGGGGTGTGCTACACGCAGAGTGCAGAATTCAGCCTTTCACAGTTGCTTACCTCTGCTTCCCTCTTGCACATCTCTTTTCCACCTCTCTTCACCTCTGACCTCTGTACGCAACCCCCCCTTCACTGCCGCCCTCTTCTCCCCCCTCCCTAAAAACTTCATCATCTTTCACTTGTCATACTTTGGTTGCTGTATTAAGCTGAAGCACCAAGATGACTCTAGTACCTTCCAGCACACTGTAGGTGGCTCCATCTTTCTCACTTGCAGGGAGATCATCCAGTGGGGTTGTCGGCAGCCACATTGAACCCAGGCACCTGCATATCCTTGTTCCCACCCTGCACTCAGTGGGAGCCACTCAGGAGATCAGATCTGTGGGAACCATTGGGAGACAAGCTGTCACTTGTAAACACAGAAGCCAGACTTCTGAATTTACAAGTTATAGTGGTGAGAAGGGAACAGAGGGCCTGAGCCAGAGGTGGTGGAATTGAGTTTCAACAAGTTCCAGCTGAAAAAAGCCCTGATTTTCCCACAATATTACATTTTTCAGAAAGGTTGAGTGACAATTTAAAAAGGTACAATCCAGTCACTATGCAATTCTGACCTACATCATGTATACATGAGTCCACACTAAGAGCTTCAGAGGACGAAAGACAATGGGTTTGATTTACTAAAGGCAAATAGACTGTGAACTTTGCAAAGCACAGTTGCACTCTGCAAGAGCAGTTGATCCAGAGCTTAGTAAATGAGCAGAATCTCTGCTGACCTCCATCATCCAATCATGTGCAAGCAAAAATGCTGTTTTGTTTTTATTTTCTTTGCAGGTGAAGCTTTACCTCATTTACTAAGCTCTGGAGCTAATGCACTTGAAGAGTGCAACTGCACTTTTCAAACTGCACAGTCTACTTGCCTTCAGTAAATCAACCCCTACGCATTACAACTTGCTCAAAAAAAACATACTTGCAAGTTTCGGCTTATTTGAAAGTGTGCACCAAGTATTCCTAAATCCACCTATTTTGTTCTAGTTCACCAAAGGTACATCAACCTAAACATTATCTCTGGTTCTCTCCTTTTCCCCTGATCTGGAAGACAGCATACAATGTGAACATAGTTACTGTTCTGATTGTAAGTATTCTGTTCCACTGTACTAAACTGGGTGATAAAATATGAGTAAGAAAGAAGAAAACCTGATTGACATTTTATAGCTTCTTCTCTGCTCATTTTAATGGAGCACTATTTTTTAGATTTTTAGATTTTAGCACGACAGTCACTTTATGGATATCATTAAAAGTTCACTAACTTGATTTGGCTGGAGCTGCTCTTTTGGTAGAATCTATCATTAGCACTAGATATAATTAAATAAAAAAAAAAATAAATAGTAATTATTCTAAGTAGCACATGACAAGTATTCACATATCCAATGAAAATGTACATAGTCTGTACAGACATGAAAGAACAGGACAAAAATAGAATATAATATGGTAAGCATACAGTATATAGTGAAGGAAAGGTTGGGGGGGGGATGAAACTAGTGTAGAAAGTGATGGGCTTCATTTGTTATAGAAAATCCACTTAGTTTAGTTAATAAAACACAGCTAAAGTCACATTAATCATACCATACTGTGCAAAGTAAATCCATATATTTTCCCTTTTTAAATTTTTTTTCTTTTCTCTACACTTTTATTAAATTATCCTATTATTTGTGTCACCAAAGTCACTTGTTGCACTTTGGGAACTTTCTTCACATTTTTATTAAATGAACCCCATTATTTATATCATCAAAGTGCAAGTTTTCTGGTTGCTGTAAATTACATACATTTTTAAGTAAACTAGCAAAATGCGCAACTGTGCAAATATGAATACATTTTAAGTAATATAAATGATGTATATATACTAGAGTACTAATATGTATTATTACTCTAGTATTAGAGTAATAATACTAGAGTAATAATAGTGTATTATAATTTTTGCAGTGAAACAGAAAATGTTACAGAAATAATGTGTCTACATTTTAATATTTATCACAGTCAGCTGGTAATAATATAAAGCTGTATTACAACAAAAAAAAAGAATCTTTGAACTAGGCAAATATACTGGACCTGAATTGGATATATGAAATATAAAATAGGTAGAGCTCTGGGTGTTATAAGCTGCATACCAGTGCTTACTCTGTGAGAGATTGGGGCCATTTCCGTGTAATAATGCACAAAGATTGGCAAAAGGGGAGAAAGGATGGGAGGGAGCTGTTCTTCAGCACTCCACTGCTATGGAAAGAAGCAGAGAGCTCGACAGATCAGAAATTCAGCTTGAAGCTTCTCTCCGCTCAGCTTTTCAGCTCCTTCCTGCCTAATGCAGCCACAAGACATCTGCAGTCGGAAAGAAATACAAATAAGTGACACAGAAGAAAAGCATTAAGGTAAAAACATTTCCACTGACTGCATAATCACGACTGGTAGAGCTTAGCTTAAATTATTCTTTATTGAGTTTAGCAGGTTTGTAAACTCATTTTAAGTGAACATGAATACTTTTGTATTTAAAGTGTTGCAGGAGTTGATCTACATGGTTCTAAGCAGTTTTGCATAGTCACCTTGCTTTTCTTTTTTTTTTACTCCATAACAATGTCATAACGTAAGATTTGCATGATTGCATTACTATATTTGGAAGGCATTACTGATGATAAGCTTGAATGTTTTCTGAAATAGAAATTAATATATAGATGTGTGTGTGGTAATGCTTAATTATAAATGAACACAAGCAATTAACTCATGTCATGTTGATTTTTATTTTTCAGTTTGGAAGATGGAAAACATATCTATGGATATTTCAGTAAATTCCTCAAGCAGGTCAGAGTGGTTGAATGGATCGATCCCTGAAGTCATCCCCAACTTTTATCTGGCATTGCCCATCATCTATTCCATCATTTGCGCAGTTGGATTAACTGGGAACACAGCTGTTATCTATGTTATTCTTAAGGCTCCCAAAATGAAGTCAGTTACCAATATGTTTATCCTGAACTTGGCTATTGCTGATGAACTCTTCACGTTGGTGTTGCCCATTAATATAATTGATTACTTACTGCTGCAGTGGCCCTTTGGAGAATTTATGTGCAAACTAATTATCTCCATTGATGAGTACAATACATTTTCTAGCATCTACTTCCTGACTGTCATGAGCATTGACAGATACCTTGTGGTTGTGGCAACTGTAGAGTCTAAAAAACTCTCATTTCGCACCTATAGGGCTGCTAAGATTGTCAGCCTGTGTGTCTGGAGCTTTGTGACCATAATCATTTTGCCATTTGTTGTTTTTGCCAAGATTCACCAAGAGCATGGTCGATTGCAGTGCCTCTTTGTTTTTCCTAACCCTGAGGGCTTGTGGTGGCAGATGAGCAGGATCTATACTCTCATTATGGGCTTTGCAATCCCTGTGTCCACAATTTGCATTTTATATTCCATGATGCTTTACAAATTGAGAAGGATGCGTCTGAACACCAATGCAAAAGCTTTAGACAAAGCCAAGAAAAAAGTGACGTTCATGGTTGCCATCATTCTGGCTGTGTGCTTGTTCTGTTGGACTCCATACCATCTCAGCACTGTGGTGGCCTTAACCACTGATATCCCACAGACTCCTTTAGTTATAGGAATTTCCTTGTTTATCACCAGCCTGAGCTATGCCAACAGCTGCCTCAATCCATTCCTCTATGCTTTCCTAGATGACAATTTTAGGAAAAGCTTTAGAAAACTAGTAGAGTGCAGGTCATCATAAAGGATAAAATAAACCCTAAAGAGGGGTTGCACAAACAGGTGGGTATCCAGCTGTTGAAAAACTACATATCCCAGAATGCCTTGTTTGTCAATAGCTGACACGGAATGCTGGAATATTTAGCCTCTCATTTGCATACTCTATGATCAAACTCCTCCTAGCAAGGCATGCCTGGTCTTTTTACCAAGCCCTATCAGGCATAACATGTTGGTGCTTGTCATATCTCAACAACTAGTGGACAGTAGCATGTAAAACATTGTCAATGGCTGGTAAAGCATGCTGGGACATGTAGTTGTTTGACAGCTGAAAATGATTCCTTAGTCTGGTATGCTTTTGTACTTATTCAGTAAGGCAGTGTAGCAAGGTATGGTGTCAAGCATAACTCTCATCAGGCAATCAGATTGTGGATTACTGTCAAACAAATTAAATATTTGGATTATCACATCACTTCTTGCCTGCCTTATCAAATAAGACAATATATGTTTATATGTTTCCTAAAATGGGATTATGCAAACAAAAAGGCTCATTTATGAAAGTCAAGCATAAGAAAAACTGAGCTTTCTGCTCAAAGCAGCCAATCATGTTTCATTCAGATTGATGGCTTTAAGAGGCACCTTGACTCTTCCTTGCTCCACTTTTCATAAATGCCACTGTCTCACATTTTTCATAAGAGACCATACTTGTAAAATTATTCTTCAAAGATGAGACAGGCATTGCCTGTGCTATCTATCTCTATTCTGGATTGTTACAGTATGTCATTTTTTTGGTTTGCATTGAAATCAATGGCTTTTGTCATGTTTAATATCTAATCTGCTATTTGAGCTGAATTATAACAATGTTTAATAAGTAATATAATGACTTTGGGACAATGGGGCTTTCTTGATTATTGCACAGTTTAACTCATACTGTGTGTTGTTGTGAAACTGTATTGCCAGTCTTTTATTTTTTGTCTCCACTAAAAATGGAGAATATAAACATTGAAAATGTACATAGATGTTCAGTTATGTAAGAATGAAGGTCTATGTGTATTAAACACAAAACCAAATAAATATTTTGAGTGCCTTGCTTGATTACAATGCAGACATTTTATTTTAATGTGTATGTATATTGTGAAATAAATATGGATTGAGCATCGGTTACTTGTACAGTATATATATAATAGATTCAGCAGTTACAGTTACTATTAACAATATAATCCTCTAGAGTTTGCCTGCAAGAAGGATTATTATTATGGTTTTATCTGTTCACCAGCATGTGAAATGTGCATTACAATTTTAATGAGGACATTTAATTTTAATGAAACAAAATAAAATATTAAAATATTAACTGACTGTAAGCTTATCATTTTCAACAAGAAACATATTTTGCTGTATGTGCATATTATATAAAATCTGGATATTCTTTGTGTAACAAAACAACATATTTGCATGTAATTTGCTGAAACTACTTTATTAATAAACTTTATCATCTAAACTGCTTAATTGCTTCTACAAGCTAACATATTGAAGCAGTCTGTCACCACCTAGTGTAAAACCTACAAATTGCAACAGCTGTACCTGTCAACAGAACTTTGGCCTATTTTTGGAGTATTTGCAACCACTAAATATACGCGATGGGGTTGTTTTACTTAAACTGAAGAGTGCAAAATCTAGTGAAGCTCTGCGTAGAAACTAATCAGCTTCCAGTTTTTTTCAAGACGTAATTAAACAAGCTGAAGTTAGAAGCAGATTGGCTACCATACACAGCTTCACAGCTGCATCAGGTTTTGCACTCTCCAATTTTAGTAGATCAGCTCCTATGGCCTCTTCTACTTGTTGTTTTTGTTACTGGAGAGCAACTAATATACAAATTACCAGCTTACACTAAATACGTTTACATATTAGTTCTGCCATTTATTAGAAAGCAAAGAGGAAAAAAATTCAGAATAAAATTGCAAAGGAGATTAAGCAGAACTCAGCAGTTGTGATTCAGTAATGAATAGTAATTATATTGGTTTGCAATATTTCCCTGAATTCAGCTTGAGGTTTAAAGTAGTCTTAGACAATGAAAACATTATTTATAAAAACTGGAGCAGCTATGCATGGCAACCAATCGGGTTCTATCTTTCACTTTCAAAGCTTAACTGAATACGCTGAATATATAAGCTGATTGGTTGCCATGCATGGCTGCTCCAGATTTGGGCTGCTCCAGGTTTGATAAATTCCCCTCCATTAGTGCTGACAACCCTGAGCAAGACAGATTTCGTTGTCATTTGTGTAGTTTGCAACTTTTGTTGTACAGTAGTATAGTTTCTATAGCTTGTCAGTTAAAAAGAAAATCAACGATGCCAGCAATAGAAGAGTTTTAATATTCACCTGTCTAGTGGCCCATGTCTCTTCTTCCATTTCATTCAGGGGCGGACTGACAACTCATGGGGCCCTCGGACAATAGGGGATCATGGGGCCCCTGTGTCCTTGCCCAAACTCAAAAAAGCCTATGAAAAAGGTACCAGGGGCATCTCATGGGGCCCCCTACTGACCCCGGGCCCTCAGGCAATGCCCGAGTTTCCAAATGGTCAGTCCGCCCCTGCTTTCATTCCATCACTTCAAGCTCAATAAGGACTGTGCTCAGAATGCTATCTGCTGCCCCCCCCCTTGGTCTAGCGGTCTTGTGTGATGAACTGTTCCTGATGTCATCATGCCCATAGACCAGCTCTGGACATGAAGACGTCAGGAACAGTCCACCACTGGACACTGGAGAGCGCTGTTTTCCAGAGAATCAAAGGATCGGGTGAGTATAGTGTGTTCACGCCTAAACAAAAGGAGCAGTTGTTAACCACTTGCCGTCCACCTGCTGTTTATAAATGGCAGGACGGTGGCACTCCAGGGGTGGGTTGCTGTTCATAAACGGCACCCGCCATATCTAGCTGTGAGCGGTCCCTGGGAGCGTGCAGCACCGCAATCCAGTGCCCACTGTGACACAGTGAAACACCGATCGTCGGATGGGACCTCTGTATGAGGTCCCGATCATGTGATCACTGATTGGCTAATCAGTGATCACATGCAAAGTAGTAAGCAAGATGTCACTTGTGACATCATTGCTTACTACATGTGAAATCTGTGCATGATCACAGAGGTCACATGGTACAAGACTATTCACAACAGCCTTGTACCATGTGAACAAGCTGTGACCAATCACAGCTCACTCAGTAGTTCTCAATGGCTTGCAAGAATGCAGACGGAGAGAAAGAGAAATGATTGCTTTTACATCCTATATGGCTGTAAAAGCAATCACTGTAAAAAAAAAAAAAAAAAATCTTTTTCACCCCCCACAAGTAGTACAGTGTCACCATGGTGACACTGTACTGCTAGGGTGACAGTATTTTAAAAAAAAAAAAAAAAAAAAAACCAAATAATAATATAAAAAAAAATAAAAATGTAAAAAAAATGTTTAAAAATTATAATTTTTGGTTATAAACTAATTTGGCTTATTTTTTTTTTTTTACTAAAAAGATAATGGAATACATTTCGACCAAGATTTATGATGAAAGATTATTTTAAAATTTTATAAGAAAAACACTTTTTTAAAAAATATTTGGACATTTTCATTTACATAGCAAAAAAAAATAAAAATCCCAGCGGTGAATAAATACCACCAAAATAAACCTTTATCTGTCTCAAAAAAATGTTAAAAAATTCATATGGGTACAGTGTTGCATGACCGCGCAATTGTTATTCAAAGTGTGATAGCGCTGAAAGCTGAAAATTGCCCTGGACGGGGAGGGGGTAAAAGTGTCCGGACAGGAAGTGGTTAATTCAAGCAGTGCGAGCACAACCCCACTGCATGGTAAAAAAAATTGCCTGGAGTTGTGCTTTAACAACATTTTAAATATTTTTGAAGCTTATCCATAAAATATGTGTTTCATGTAAAAGTTGGTATTATGTAGTGTTTAAAAGTCCTGCTTTTTTTTGTATATTTTTTCTTCAGATAAGGATTATTACATGCATGTAATATTATATATGTACAAAAAGAAATCATTATTCAGTAAAATGAATTGTGTTTTGGCTGAGCTGAGAAGGTCAGTCAAAAAATCTGCAATAAGCTGCAGGAGGCAGTGAAAATAAATAGTTTCTGGAGAGGATGGATACTTTTTTTGGGTCCTCTGATCTTCTTTAAAAAAGGTGTTGAATGCAACCTGACCATAATTTGTTCAAAAGATGACAAATTGATCACAACTATTCAAATGCATCAGTCCAACAAAGGAGAATTTGAACATTTAACTCATGCAAATGAAATAGTCTTAGATTGGCTAAACAGAGTGTGGCATATTTGTGTCAATTGTTGTAAACTAGCAGTTTCTGTGAAATATATTCAGCTGCTCTGGCTTTATTTTGCAGGAAAGGAGCCAGCTGAAGCCTGGAACAGCTGATGATAGCCACTTTTTACAGAGCTATTTGCCAGGGTAGTTTAAACTAGAACTAATTTCATTCCATTAGGTGAAACAAAATTGCCTACCTATGTCGTTCAACATTGTAAAATTAAAATGCTGAATGGAGTGGAACCAAGTCATTCCAATGAAAACACTTAATTGCACTCCTAGCATCTTAATTCCTGTTGCTTTTTTTAACCACTTCAAGTCCGGACACTTTCACCCCCTTCCTGTCCAGGCCATTTTCAGCTTTCAGTGCTATCACACTTTGAATGACAATTGCGCAGTCATGCAACACTGTACCCATATGAATTTTTTAGCAATTTTTTTGAGACAGATAAAACTTTATTTTGGTGGTATTTATTCACTACTGGGATTTTTATTTTTTTGCTATATAAATAAAAAAAAGTCCAAACATTTTGAAAAAAAAATTGTTTTTCTTATAAAGTGCAATTTCTTCAGTGTTGTCACATGAAAAGATATAATAAAATAATTACAAAATGTGAGGGGTGTACTCACTTATGTGAGATACTATACATATTTAAAAACTATCTTAAATAAAAAGACCATGTGAACAACTTAAGAAAAGTTCAGG